GATGGTCAACACTTGCTTACTTTTGTTATAAATTCCTTCAGATAATTTCACAATTGCACATACTTACTGTTAAAAATAATCATTAATGGAAAAGCCATAGATAGTAGGAGTATTCAGTAATTATTCATGTCTTTATTATTCTTCTTCTTCCTTCCTTTTGTCCTGTGTTTTGTTTTCCTTGCCAAGGACATCTTATACCATTGCTATTTCATTTGAATGGTGATTTCCAACAACCTGCTTTAACTGTAAAAATGGAAACTAATAGCCATAGGATAGGCAATGAATGAAGGTTCTAAATAAGTATGTTAATGGCAGGCAAGTCTCCTAAAACTCCAGAGGTGTGTCTATATATTGTATTTACTTTGTTTGTTTAAATCAGGAAAGATTATTTGTTTTCCAAGTTTTGATATTGATTGCACATTCACAGTGCAATAATTTTGACATCTGTATAACAATACTACAGGCCACATTTGATTGTGTATTTGCATATAAATTCCTAATCATCCAGCTGCAAATGATTTTGAACCATATTTAATTATTTCCTTGCAGTGCACTCTGGCCATGGATTTCAATTTTGAGAGCATGACTTATAATCAATATTGCACTTCAGTAAACTTAATTTGTGTGTACTCATAAATGTTTGAATATACTCATCATTTATACTTAATCTTGCTTATGTTGGCATAATATTATGGGCTCAAATAGTTCTACAAGTTGAGATCTCAGTCATTGATTAGTAAGGACTACAGCATTATGTTTAGGCTACTCAGTTTCAGACATGCTTTCTATGATTGTGGAGAGTTCCATATTTTTGTAATTTATCTATGCACAAAACCACTTAAAATCTGTTCTCAAACTTATTCTAAATTGTGCAAATACAATATCTATTGAAATTACAAACTGCACCATTAATTAAACATAGGTAATATGTATTTCTGGTAGTTATATAAATCTTACACCTTTAATTTATTAGCCAGGTAAGACAGAACAGGTGTTAAAGTGTTTGTTTATTTATTATAATGTTAATTTCTGTAAATAATCTCAAGTGGATTTTTGTCACATTTTAACTCTTAGTTCAAACAAAAACTTCTGTTCAGTATAAAAAATTTAATAAAAGTTGTGGTAATTAAGATTTCATGAGCAGTTCCATTGAGTTTAGTGCCATAAAGATTTGAAGCACTTATGTGTTATATGCTGTACTTATATTAATGTTTTCTTCTGAGGAAAATATCATTTCTTTATGCTGGTAAGTATAACATTTTATTTTTTGTACCTGTGATTTGGTACCTCACATTATTAGGAGTCAATCAATAATAAATAGCTTTATTTTATTAAACTAATCTTAATTTATGTTTTTTCATATGTTTACTTGAAAAACTATAAATGAAAAATATTTTAAAAGAGATTTTTTTTTTACTTTATTGATAATCTCTCTCAATCTCTCTCTCCCTGCAGTCCATAGTTGAGTCCATAATAAGACTGAACCAAATGCAAATAGTATTCAACATACTTTACTTTCCATTGGTAAGAGATTTTAATGTAGGGTAGGAATAGAATATTGTTAATATAAACCATATAAACCCCTGTCTTGTTGTTAGCTCTTTCAAAATTTCTTCCTAATTCATTAGAATAGAGTGCCCTTTAAACAAAGATCTCAAATTTATATCAAACTATTAAGATTTAAAAAAAATTTTTTTTTTAAGAAGATTTTAATGGGAGATAATCCAATATTCTAGCTCTTTCTTTTCTTTGAATAAATCATCAAAATTGATTATATCTTTGTGGCTACATTAATTTACTTTGAAGAAAACTTATAAAAAAAAGTAATAATCATAAAATACACATTAAATTTCAACCTCTATATCATAGATTTTTAACCACCACAGTGGTCTCGTGGTAGAGTGTTCGCCTCAAGTGAGGGAGGTTGTGGGTTCAAACCCCCGCCAGGTCAAACCAAAGACTTTAAAATTGATATTTGCTGCTTCTCTCCTAAGCAGCAGCATTAAGGAGTAAGAGCAAAGACTGGTCGGCTCAGAGTCAGAATAATCTGTCTGGGTAAGGTGATATGTCCTCCTGCAGATTGTTACCTTGTGAACTAGTGTGTTAAAAATCCGGCTCAGCGTGTCCGTCTAGTGCAAAGCAAGGTTAATATTCATATTACATTAGCATGTTCTCATCCTGAATATGTATATTAATTTGCCGCTGGACGTTAAGCAGCCATCCATCATCATCATAGCTTTTATATATAATTTCAGAAGAGGAGCATAAAAATATTGAAAAACAGCATGAATTATGGTTTTTTGAATGAGAACTGGAATGAAAACTTATTATAGTTAAAAAAGAAGTAATGAAGTTAATTAAAGATGGGCTAATATCAAAGATAACCCTATATAATCTCAACCCTTTTGATATGTAAGGGAGAATTAAATTATATAAGATCAATAATCTCCCTTTAAAAAATTTCAAAAATATTTCTGGTAAAATACATTTCACTGAATACTGAAGATTTTAATTTAGTTCATTTTCCCCCTGTAAAATAAGAAGGTGTTTCTGAAAGGATGGTGCAAAAGGTAAAACATACAGACATTTGTATTGCAAGTATGCTTTTCAATGACTTTGGCATCAAGATGCCCTTTGTTTTTTGTAATGTCAGGTTTCTGCCTCATTGATATATACTTCTTGTCTCCTTTTACTTAATTAATATTTCTTGTCATTTGGACAGTTCACGTGTAATTGCTGATACCATGGAAGTATTATATTCATTTTACTTCCATGCTGATACAAACATTGATTGAGTCTTATTTATTGACTGCAAACAAAGGAAGTGAAAGTCTATCCTGACCTGAGTCTTATTACTCTTGTAGAACTTTCTTACTAGTTCAAAATGTTCATTATGTGATGAATCAAGTTTTAAAGAATTTTTGTATATATATTTTGTCACATGGATATTATTGACAGTTTTAAATCCTTGTTCAAAGACATTACTGGAGAAAGATGGTGGAAAATGTTTGGAACAGCAGGGTATATTAAATATTGTCCATGTTAAATTATCATGCTTTGTACATGTGTGATGTAAGTTTTGAAAATATACAAAAGAAAAGTAAATTTGACTAAAATTAATCTGTTTTTATAAAGTAAACATGATTATTATGGAGATTGAAAAATAAACTGAATCAACTGGAGATCATGACTTAATTACACTAAAACCTACAAAACTACAATCTTTCTTTGAAGGCAAATAATCATTGATATCTTCCCTAGACACAAAAGGAAATTACAAAAAAAAACAGAACATTATATAATGATGGAGTCAGAGACAAATAAAACATCTGGTGCAGGCATATAATAGCTGTCGGTTTCTATTGAAGATCAGTAAAGCAGGGACTCTGACTCTTTTCAGACACATTTGTCACACTGGGTATGGAAAAATTGAATGATCTAAGCCTTCTTGTTGAATCTTAAAGCCCTTCTCTTGGTTTGTATCTAATTTAAAGATTGATATTTCTTATATTTAGAATTTATATTACATATTCAACTTTAACTTAAAATGTTTTAAGGTTAACCAGAATCATTCAGACTTTATATTTTCTGACTTAAGGGTCATCCATCCTCCTGATGGGAATCAATAGAACACTTGGTATAAACAAATATTATTTGGTGTCCACAATAAATAGTTTCTTTTTTATTATAACTCCTAGTCATAACAGCAGTCCTCCATACCTTTTTTGTAACATCAGCGGCCAATGACCTCGTTTGTAGTAGGTCTTTGTATGAAGGATATTTACAGGTGGGAAATCTAATTCACAATCTACAGTTAACACGATATTGTCTGTTTTTGCATATATTGAGTAAAAGGCTTTTATATTGAGTTATGTACTGAAAATTACAGGTCCGTTTTGATTTTTCATTCATTGAACCTGCTTATCTTAAAATTATGGGCCTTGGACATCTCTACTAATTTTCAGATGATGCAGGATATATTTAGTCCTAAGCATTTTTGTAGTTAAGTATCTTAATTTGGATGGCAGTCTTTTTTTGTTATATTGTGGTGTTTTTTTTTATATATTATATTTGAATAAGCAAAATTATCAAATCTGTTGTAATCGAAAAATTGAAATAAATGGGTCAAAACATGAGCAATAAAAGATTATTGTATGACAAATGTTGACAGTAGAAAAAAATTTCCGATTTATAATGAAGACTTGTATAAATATGCAATATGGTAATTGTATTATGAGTTAGATGTATAAATGTGTAATGGGTCATTGAATATGCATGATTTACAAGTAAAAATATGAAAATGGTAATTGAATATTTATGCTTTACAAGCAATTTTGCACCTTATAAAATCTCACAAAATTGCACAACCATTAACAAATTAGTATGAAAACACTTTATAGATTTCAAATTTGATAGAGTTTTAAACTGAATGGAGACGTTTGACTAAATTGGACTGTTTACACAGTGTAAACGAGTATACACCCTGCTTATCAAAATGCATTTTGACTTATCGCTCTTTAAAATCATTTTTCGAAAGGTAATAATTGGAATAATACATTAAATGGTTTGTTGGTCACACAATATGAAAATGATTAATTAACCCATCAAATGAAGGCCAAGGAAGAGAAAATATATAATTTCATTTATGCCATCGCCATTGACAAATCATCAAAATCTACATTCTTTTGGGTATGTGAATTGTTTAATTTGAAAGGTAATCATCAAATTTTGTGAAAGATTTTAGGACTTATAATGTCAAATTTAAATGATATTTTATATAAAAAGCTACCACCCTCTATATACACAATAATATAGCTTTGTCATCTTGATAATGATTTATGAACCAAATTCTTTGGTAAAGAAAATGCTGATGTAGACGATGATGAAGGCATCATTAAGTACTTTGTCCCATTTTGATTTTATACTACTTAATATACAATGTTTGTCAGTGTTCTCAAGAGAACATTTAACTATAAGTGTAAATTGTTTGTGTTTTGTAGTAATTGGTATAAATAGCTGTAAGATACCACACCAGAGAGACATCAGCCTCACTGAGTGACAGATTTACTCTGTAATACTACAGGTAAGTACTTCTAAGTGTAATGTTTTTTACTCATTTTGAGTTGATTGTACAGTACTCTTTGATTCAAAACTTTAAATTGTGAATGTTTTGTTCAAAGTTATCATGCCAACTTGTAATAAGACAGACTTTGGAACAATAGAACTTTGTAGCTGCTCCATTATACCAGGAAAACACTTGTCACTAATTCATATCATATTGCAACTGTTTAGTTCTGAAAAATTCAGGTCATTTGAAAATAAAATGTATAAACATGAAGTAGGGAATAATTTCATTAGACAGCAAATCAACAATGCAAAAAAAAGGAAATCTGACCAATTATGCTGAAAGATGAATAAGGGGAGGTAACTTATCAGAATCATTCTTTTTCAATATTTGAGTAATGTTTTAGATTAATGAAATGATATCCCAATACTATCTACAAATATTATTAAATCAGCATAGCACATCTTCACTTTGATATCAAAAGATTAAATCTATACCACCATGTACAATGTACATACATATTTTAAACAAACAATCAAAAGAGAAATTTCTTTAGAAAACCAACAAAACAGGAATTTCTTTTACAAAGGGACACTTAAACCTCAATATAATAATTAGAAGGTTTGGTATGATTGCTAATGAGACAACTATCCACCAGAGACCAAATGACATAGATGTAAGCTACACTGTACGACCTTCAACAATGATCAAAACCCATATCTTAAAGTAAGCTTTAAAAGGCACCAACATGAAAAAATGTGAAACCGTTCAAACAAAAAAAAAGAGCCTGATTTATAAAAACAAGAATGTGTCCTTAGTACACGGATGCCCCACTCGCACTATGTTCAGTGTACAGTGAAATTGGGGTAAAAACTACCTTGACCAAAAACTTTAACCTGAAGCGGGAGAGACGGACAAATGGACGGACGAACGAACGGATGCACAGACCCAAAAACAGAATGCCCCTAGGTGGGGCATAAAAATTTAACACAATCAAATATGATAGACAGAAACCATCAAACACCACTGAATAATAGGCTCAGGCATATAGAATGTGAGGGGTTACACATGTCTGTAATGGTCCAGGGACAACTGTTGATTAGACAAATATGAACTTATAATCTCGTGATGCTAATGACCTCAATTACATTTATAAATGAATAATAATTCTGGTACCAACTTCTCCCACTCAAGTTTCACATTAAAGTTTATTGTAATTACCTGGATCTGGATTGTAATGCAGAAAAAAAGAGAAAAAGATCTTAAGATAATAAGCAATACAATTTTAACGACTGTAAAAACAAGTAGATAGTCCACTTAAACCCACTTTACCTATTGTAATAGATGGCTAAGTTTCTATCCTTAGATTCAAACTGGATATCTGTTCAATTAGTTTGATGAAATTTCATTTGTGATGGGGAAGAGGGTATTTATTGGAAGACTAAAACTCTGTTGGAAAAAAAAAGAGTTGTAGAACGTTTTTCAGAAGGGGGAGTTTATTTTAAAAATTGTAAGGTGTGGAGCTTTAAGTAGAAGGGGGAGTTAATTAAAAGAAATTGATCAATCTTTCCGTTATTCATCCATATCCAATGTATAATCTGGGGGCTGTAATGATCTGATATTTCCCTGGGGTTGTATTTATATTAATTGTATGTGATGTAATCAGAGATATGAACTTCACAGTGCTTACCCTTTTACCTTTCTCAGTTACACCTGCAATTACATAATCGCTATCAGTTTTATTTCAACTATAGCAGTATAGAATTACCGTAATTGAGTGACTTACAAATTGAATTGGGCGTATTAATTGTACAAAGTAACGTACTGACACAATAGATATTGCAAAAACTACTGGTAATTTGTTGTCAGAATTGATTAAACAGTATCAGTAAGCTTAAATTTATGCATTTTAGATAAAACAAGGATATATCTATGTAATGTCAACCAGGATTTCAGGTTTTATTATCATTTTAGCCTTTTTGCTTTACATCTTAATGTTGATTCAAAACCTTTGATAGATCTCAATTGTTAGATTTCATCTGCCAATAAGTATCATGTTATTTTGATACTTGTTAGGTATATTAGCTGTTTTATATACATGGCAGAATTCCTTTTCATTTTTAAAGTACTGTTATATATATACATTTGTAATTTCAATATCATTTTTAATTTACCTGACCCAAAGCTCTATGTGAGCTTTTCTCATCACTTGGCGTCTGTTATTTGTCATTCGTCATCCCTTAACTTTTACAAAAAACTTCTCTTCTGAACCTCCAATGCCAAATTTAACCACAATCATCATTAGAGTATCTAGTTTGAAAAATGTGTCTTATGACCCTGCCTGCCTGCCTACCAACATGGCCCACATGGCTAAAAATAGAACATAGAGGTAAAATGCAAGTTTGGTCTATTATCTTGAAACCGCTATGAATAGAGAAAATCTGACAGGGGCAGAAATGTTATGGATGATGAGATCTACAAATTGTCCAATTACATCAACACTGTAGGACTTCTTATGGGAGTTTTTGCCCTTAATGATGAATTTTACCAATTTATTTCATTTTTTGCCTTGATAATGATAATAGATAAATAGAAACTTGAAATAACAAAAATGATCAGCAAGACAAGATCTTCAATATAATGCTCATGGTCGAAATAAACGTATTTACACTTTTGGTATTTAGCTATATTTTGCCTCCGAATGACCTTAGATCTACTCCGAATCACCTTTTGACGTCAGGCAACAATCACTTTTTAATTGTGACGTCAAATGTTTTGAATTATGATGTCAAAGTTTACGGGAACCTGTGTGATTTTACGTAATGGCGGACAAATTTGCATACAAGTGTAAATAGGTCTATCGTCAGACTACTCCTGATTGGAATTATTGCCCTTTAGTGATGATTTTTATCATTTTTTGGCATTTTTGCCTAATACCTGAAAAACTATAATAGATAGATAGAAACTTAATTGAATAAGCAAAAATGATCAGCAAGACAAGATCTACAAATAAGTCTATTGTCCTGTTCTCACAACTCCTCTGAATTTCCTGATACTTTGTAGATAATAAGGACATGACATACTATGTAGATGTGCATAGCGACAGGAAACTATGATTCTATTTTTTTTCTAGGAGTCATGCCCTTTTGAACTTAGAATTTTGGTCTAAATATACTACTGCAACAATTTGTCATTGCAAATCCTCTGAAACCACACATCAGAATTTCATAAAACTTTGCAGATAATAGGGACATAATATGTAGATGTGCATATCCACAAAAAATTAGTATCAGTTGTATTTTCTAGGAGTTATGCCCCTTTGAACTTAAAATTTTGACTTAAATATACTACTGCAACAGTTTGTCATCACAATTCCTCTGAAACCACACTACAGAATTTCCTGAATCTTTGTAGATGATAAGGACATAATATGAAGATGTGAATATCCACAAGAAATTATTATCAGTTGACTTTTGGAGTCTTTTAATTTAGGAATCTAGTGAGATTTTGTTTGGCCACAGTCAATATGGGGGCATGTGGTATGTGAGCATGCTCACAAAGGTTTTTAATTTTTTTTTTAACCTGTCTCTCAAAGAAGTAAGGGAGGGGAATAGCATTTTGGTAATAGAAAAACAAAGGATATTGGGTATCCATACATGAGGTAAAATCAGTACAGCATGCTGTTCTTCATCTCAAAGTCACAGTGAGTCCTTCAACATGAGCAAAAATAACAAAAAAAAACCCTCATCTCACTGCAAGTTTAAGACGGCCCCTAGTAGGGGTTTTTTGCAGAATTCCTTGCAAAAAGAATCGGATAGACTTTGTCAGATGTAACACCACCAAACTGGGCCTGTCAAACAAGAACATACTGGAAAGTAGTACATATTTAAAACAAATGAGTTCCTACGCATAGGTGTAAATATCAAACTAAGTAGAATATAGTTTAGTAATAAAGGTACCAAATGAAAGGTGAAGGACTGGTGATCCCATCTTCGCTAGCTAAGGGTTACAATTCACTTCCCTCCTCTCCACCCTTGGCAGATTAAGCCAACATTTGTGATAACAATGTTGCGCCATCTATTGGTAGATTAAAGTCACGCCATTCCTAACATTATTCTTGACCAATGGTAGCACTTGAACTCTTCAATTTGGAGGTAAAAACACGGTAGCGTCTAGATTCTACACACTTGGTAAAGCAGGAAACGAAAATATACGTTGACATTCATGCATTTGTGCAAGAAACATACACAGGAACTTCTATTAGTTGATTAAAAACATTCAAATTGTCACTTAATATAGTCGTATGTTTAGGGATGTAAAGATATGTTGCACAATAAGCACGTGGCAATTGTTTACATACACTTTCTACATTTACACGTGATCATGTTATAGGCGCTTTTTGATTTGATGCAGCGAGTTTCGACTGCAACAAATGAAATTCATAACCTTGTGTCTCCGAAATTCTATCTCAATCCGCCAAGGGTGGCGAGGAGGGAAGTGGATCATACAGATATGCATGAATGAATTCTAAAATTTAGGCCATATTTTGCCTGTTTGTTTGTCCATTTGTGAATCTGGGAGGAATGATCTTTTGTCAGTTGGTGCATAAAATGAAGAAATAAAAGTCTTCACTAAGATATTTTTATTTTGACCTTCATTTTATGGAAGAATGACCTTGATAAAGTTCTGTGTTGAGGTCCAGATCTAGGCAACAACAATTCATAAATGAATGATCTTTTGTCAGTTGACACATTTTATAAAGGGATGAAGGTCTGTACTAAAATATTGTCATTTTGACCTTCATTTTATGGAAGAATGACCTTGATAAAGTTCTGTGTTGAGGTGTAGATCTAGGCAACAACAATTCATAAATGAATGATCTTTTGTCAGTTGACACATTTTATAAAGGGATGAAGGTCTGTACTAAAATATTGTCATCTTGACCTTCATTTTATGCTTGAATGGCTTTGGTTAAATCTTGCATTTTGGTAAATCTAAGCAACAACAAATCATATACA